CCGGCTCATTTGGAATATCTTGGGGATACCCCAGAGGCTGCGTGGCTTCCTCGACCCAAAACGCATTTGCCACCCCTCTTGCAGACAAAAAGTCCAAGCGGCACAAATGCATGTCGTACTGGTCGCAACAACAATCCGTCATACGCGTACGTTACGCTCATTGATGCATTGTTGAAAAACGCCTTCTGGAACTACACACCCGTTCAGCAAGCGCTCGCAATTCTCGGTGGACCGGAACGCCTTCGACATAAAAACGCACACCAACGCCCTCTTCTGATTCCGGATCCGTTCTTCCATCACTTTTATGTCTCGCACGACCTACACCCCGATCCGTTCGCCCCAACCATTCCAGATCCCCGGCGACGAACACTTGCGTCTGGCGACATGCTGAGGCGACAAACCTTTTGGTGACTTGGATGGTATGTGTTGAGTGATACGGTTGCAACTGTATGCTGACGATTGTAGATGAGGACAACGGCGAGGAGGATCTCAATGAAATGCACCATAACATGCGGAAAAGGACTCCAGTGTCGACATCAAGCATCACCTCTCGAATTCTTATCGATGATTCCATTCACGTTTTTGGTTCAATTGGGACACGTCGAGCGACGGTCAAAAGATGGAAACGAAACGTTCCTGGGTAAATTTTTCAACTCATACGCATTATCGCGTGCTCGTTCCATCTGTAGCGGCAGATGAGGAAGAGGTGGTTCAAATACTTGAAGAAACTGTGGTGGATTGCGCAGTAGTTCAGAAAATCGATCCGGAACTTTACACCAAAATCTGCAAAACCGCCCGGCTCTGTACGTCCTCATCTTTGATTTTCTTGTTATGTCGTATTCCATCTTCAGATCGTTGTGACGATTCTTTTCCTCCAGCAAGCGCTTGCCCTGACTCCTCTGGGACGCGGCATCCCCCTCTCTTCGTTCCTCCCTCTATTTCTTCAGCTCCATTCAGTCCAACTCAACTCTCCACCGCAGACGGAGAAGACTCGAGACGAGGTCGAGCCTCCGTCCTTGGCGACGCCAGCAGCTGTCGGTCTTGTCGATCTGTCCGCTCATGCGACTTCCGTTGCAACTCATTGCTTTCACGAATATTTCGTTTTTCTCTGCGAAAAATGCGATCGCTTTCAGCAAACGAAGATTTGATTTTGAGGCATGTGATCAATAATTCTGAAATTTCTTGATAACAACCTTATTGCAGAAGCACCATCAAGGTGGGATCCAGTTATGCATCATCACGCGGACGCTTACACGCGATATAGAACAGGCCGCGTGGTCGGCACTGTCCATGAAGTTGAATAAGGTGAGACTTGCGGGTTGTGCATTTGGACATCGTTTCTTATTCAGGTCAAGGTTTTTGAGTATCTTTCAGCTCAGATTTGGACCAGGGATCCTTCTTCAGTCCCTTCCTTCCTTATCGGAAAATTCTGGAGAGTCCGAACATTCAACAATATCGGGCGTACGGGAGCATTTGTTTGGAAGAACTGGAATTCAAGTGCTTCCGATGACGCTTGAAAGCGCTGGAGCCCGTTGGACATTTTGCTTGCATTCAGACGACTTCTCAGAAGAGGAAATCGAGCCACAATGCGCAAAACCTGAGGATCTCAATTGTGGTTCTTCACCAGATGAGGTTCAATCGCGCAATCCACTTGCCGGAGTTGATGGACGGCTGCATTTAATCCGAGTGGAAACGAATGTGGAACTCACGAAAGAATTCTCGCTCTCGTCGTTGCGAGAGCTCATTACGAATGAAAACACCGAACAGGACGACACTTCGGGTGGTTCCTCCAGGCTGCTCGACTCCAGCGAAACCCCCTCCGAATTTCTTGACGTATCTCGCATTGACAGAACGGGGCCTTAATCTAGTTGAGTCGTCTGGATTTCTAATAAGAGCGCACGAAGCACTGAACTCGAACAAATCGTCGTTGGAATTGAGAAGCTACTTGTGGTCAATCGGACATCTGGCATCTTCGTCTGCTGGAGCTTTGTTTTTATTTCGAAACCAGTTACTACAGAGTAAGCCCTGTTTTTATTATCCTCATTCTTCTCTCTTTAACCAGGAGTGATTAATCTTGCCTATTCAAGCCCACGGGCAGCATTGAAGGGTTCCGCGCTTTATGCGCTCTCGATGCTTCCTCTCACTCCTGTCATTCGCAAAAATCACTGACGCGCTGAAGTGGGATGTCGTGTCCCGCGGACCTTTTCAGTCGGACCTTGGTCGTTTCCTTAACATCGACGGACTTCCGCGACGCGCGTCTCAATGACAGAGGAGCCCTTCATGAATAACGGAAGGGCCGAATCGTCGTGTGGTTCCACTGCGCTGACTGAGATTCAAGAGGGCGGACTGCCAGAGAAGCCGATTCTGTCAGCTCTTGCTAACATTGTCCCCCCTGACGAACAAGTCTCAGCTTTCATGCAGGATAGCGGTGTGGTTGGCGGGTACGATCTTACCAAGTGCGTTACTAATTATCATTCAGAATTCACGATTGTCATTCCTGTTTTTGCTCATAGATTGATTTTCGAGCCATCGTACAGTTTTCGCACAATGATTTCATTTGGGATCGATCTTATTATGTACAAATACTGGATGATACGTACGACGACATCCATAAACTCACGTATGGACTCGGACGAACATCTTTCGCCTTCTGATATCGACAGCTTCAAGCACAAGTTTCGCTCCTTTCCGTCGTTTCTTTTCGATGACGCTTCTGGTCAACCTGAAGGTCTCTTGATCGAAAAGACGCTCCCAATCACTTTTGTAGCATTCTCGGTTTCAACCGTTCCGGACTGTGGTGAACGACTTCTTCCTTCCGTTGCGTCATCTTCTCAGCCCTGCACGATTCCGTGCGTTCAGGTTCCAAAGGAACCTGTTTGCGAGGAACCGACTGCGGGGCGTATGGATCGTGGGCCCCTCTCCCCAATTCTTGAAATGTCTTCAAGTGTTGAGCGCGATATTGCGTTGCGACAATCCGTCGTTATGAGTGACGCATCGCAGGAACATACAATTTCGTCGTTTGACATGTCGGGAGACGCTGCGAAAGATGATTCCCAATCCTCCAGTCTCAGGTGTATAGATTCATCAAGTGACGAAGAGAACGATCTTTTGGGTTCAGCTGTTCAATTTCGCTCTGCAGAATTACGAATACTCTTCAATGGATCCAGACATTATCACCTCGAGAGGTCGTGTTCTTTCCGATACATCTTTGTTGCTTGCCCCAAGCTTCGCTGAAGGACCGTCGAATTCAGAGAAAACAGGTTCGCTTCGAAGGACTTTCGGAGATTTTATCATCAGTTGGAATGAAAACGCGGAATGGGAGCGCAGCGGACTGACACGTCGCTCCGCTCTTCCCTCCTTCGTTGCGAATCCGAGCCGTTTGTTCCATTGAATCGCAGATACAGAGGAATGCAATCGATGGAACTGGAGGCAGACGGATAGCTTTTGGCGTATCGGGTGGTTTGACTACCGGTCGAATCAACTTTGAAGGGATTCAAAATGGATGAGGATCAACAGGAGAAATCAGAACAGGATGTCACGGCAGACGGAAAATCTGCCAGAACACACACTGAATTGTTGCAAATGCCATCTGACGTTCAATCGCTAACAGATTCAGATTTCGCGGAAGGATTCGAAATTGATAATCCTAATCCACTGAAGTCTCGCCCTTCAAGGCGAAAATTAGGTGGTTTGTCAGATTCAGATTTTTCGGAGGGGTTTGAAATTAATTGCTCGTCAAGAGAAAGTGAAGAAGCCTCTCTCTTGGATGAAGAATGTTCCCCTGAATCGTTTTCCAACAAAGAGAAAACCCGCGAATCAATAATATTTCGAATGAGAAAAGAGCGTATGAAACATTTTTGAGTCCTCACCATGGGGTTCAATTTTCTCGAAGTCAGACGACGTTTGAGTCGTCAAGTTCAGGTTTGTTTTCTTATTGTTTGCATTCAGCGTTTGTTGTTGCATTTGCACGTGTGACTTCCCCCGTAGGTTCCGTTATCACAACACAAGAGCTCGTTGAACCTTCTCCAAGTGACGCCAGCGGATGGATGCTGTTTTTGCATCAGGCAAAGTTATTCCTGACCTCCCTGGAAATGGAAGATGAATCTACACTTCCGCCCTTCGTGCAATACAATGCGATTCACGAAACGGTTCTTTCTGAAGTGAGTTTTGTGTTTTGCATCGTTTATGAACTTTTTTATTCAACAATCAGATAGCGAGGCTTCCAAATACTGTTGCTGTTCGAACTAATAATTTAATTGTCAGTTTGCGCAAAAAAAGGTACGCAATCAACGGCTTGGGAAGAATATTAGCACTAATTCATTGCATTTAGATTGAGTTGCTGATAGACCAACTATTAGATTTCATACTCCTTGATGTGATCAGTCTGCGCGATTGACAATTTTTCTTTGGCTTTTAGAAACGTCGCCCCTCAAATATTTAAATCAGTGGAGTTGTGGTGGAGAGTTCAAATGCTTCTTCGTGTTTATGATTTCCCTCCCAGCCTCGGTAACATCTGCATTACACGGTTTTGAACTTGTGTTTTGTTCTTTCAGGTCGTTCATTGGTGAATTATTCAGCGACACATTCTCAAATTCAATCCAATCGTGGTTCTATTTGGATATTGTTTCTCAATATATGAAATGGCAGTGCACTGTTTGAATTCATTTCACCGCTGAGTTTCAATGCTTTTTAGGTGTTCTGTACAAAACAATCTATTTTTTGATCTGTGAAGCTTGTGTCTTTGAATTCCGTTAACATGGTAGTGTTTTGTGTCTTTTTCGAGAACTAGTTTCCATATACAGTCTGCGAGAAACTTCTCGAAATCAGTCATTGAGGTTAAAAAGCAAATTTGAGAAAACTTTCACAAATTTCGTGGCGGATTGTGGGAGTCCTCTAAGAACTCAACCAGCAGGGATCCTTACTCCCCTTTTGATCCATTTGATTTGGATCCCATGAGTTCAATGTCTTCATACTTGATTGTTCCTTATCAACAATTATCTTCAAGATAAATTCAATGTGAAATTATCTTCCCAACTCGCTTGGGATCTCTCTCGTCTCGATCGATGATCTCCGCTATCGTATCCGCGAAGATCAATTTTATCGTCAATCGCATCGCGTTTGAATCCTTCAAGTTTGCTTGTTTCGTTCATCAAACCGGAGAGTTTCTTCTCTAACACCTCGAAAGCGATTTCGACTATTTGCTCGGGGGGCAAGGAACCAGTCGACTGCAACAAAACCAAAAAGGCGTCGTCATTCCACGGAAGACTTGATTCCTATATCACTTTTATACTTTTTATTCGCAGCATACCTCAACGATGAATCGGAAGACATCTGGCTTTTGGGACACAGAGATCAAATCTGAATAACCCTTCTCCTTCGCAGTGACAACACACTCATCACAAAATATACACGCCATTCGGTTCGCGACTGCTAATGTGTGGGGAGTGAACGCATCACCTTCGCAAGAGAACACGCGACGAGGGCAAGAGCGAGCACTAAAGAGAAGAGCAGAGATTAGAGTACAGGTCTACACTCATGATACTCCTGTAACGAGTTACGAAATTATTATTGGGTCTTACATTTCTTGCTGGATCGTCGAAGGCACAGTCTCTAGCAGCTTTTCGTTAATTTGCACATCCGGCTCGTACTGGGTGATAACAAAGATGTTTCAAGGGGTCGCCCAAAGCTATATCAATCGACTCACTTGAAACACTGCCGTCGCACAGGGAATCCATTTCGCGTGAAGCTTTCCGATTCCTTTGGTTGCAACAGCGTCCAGCTTCAACTTTTGATTCTTCTTCAATCTACAAATTGCAATTCCTGCTTCATTCCTACTCAATTGTTCTGGGACTGGCATGGGACTCTCAGCTACAGCAAACAGAAGGAGCATGACAATTGAGTCCTAATGTACCTCAATCACTAGCCAACTAGGAAGAAAATCATGTGCAGCAAGCAATCGACTGTCCACGCATCGAACATCTTCAACTTACGATGAAAAGATTGAATATCCGCGTGAGTTACAGTAATCGAATCCGCAACGCATACAACATCTATTTTATAATCGACTGTACATTTAGGACATTTGTCACTGCATTCGCATTCTTCTTTATATTTGAAATCTCGAATTCTTGACGAATCAATTGGCAGAAGCCCAAGCCTGAAAGAAAACATCAAACATAAATTAAATGAGAAATTATCGACAACACAGACAGATACGTACCGATGTGCGATGTACTCATCATGAAGGACGGAACTGTTTTCCTGAATTGTCACCAACTCGATCGCCAAAGTTGGAACTTCTGAAATCTGTTGATTTGATTAGACTACAAGTTTTGACACCCGCAACATTTACCATTATCCTCCGAAGAGCGTTCGCCATTGAAATATCCGTATTCCTGAGGATAAAACAAATGCGATCCTTTTTCATCTCTGTTATTTCAATTTGTGGAGGTCCTCTCGAAAAATCCATGGTTTTCTCGAGGGAATCACAACTTTCGATCGTCAAAAGGACCAACAGGAAATTTCTGCCAGAACAGCATGCATGCGGTCCCCCAGAGAGACAAGTCATATCAAGAGATTTGAAGGAGCCATTTCAACTGTAGGGTTTGTTTGCTAATACTGGTCGATCAGCCACGGCAACCTCTTCGCATCATGAGCTCAAATCCGTCTGATGAGCAGTTGAAGCAAGCAGGAATCAACAACCCCAATCCTGTTGGCCCTCCTCAACCTGGGATTGGGGCACAACAAACAACTCCTTCAGCTCCACAAGCAGCTCCTCCACCAGGTCCAGGAGTTGGAAAAGCGAGATTACAATGCCATGCGTGTAACAGACTTCTTGAGTATGACGCCGGAGCTCAATATGTTCAGGTATTCTGCAAAGCGGTTGACAATTTTTCTCATTGTTGCTTCTCTCTAGTGCTTCAGCTGCACCACCATGAATGCCGTACAACCAGGTACTCAGATCGGAGGAAGGGTGCTATCAATGTTGTGCGCCATTTGTCATACTACTAATTTGGCTCCCTACGGCATCAATTATGTTCGTTGTGGAACTTGCAGCACAATATCGCAAGTACGTTGATTGTTTGTGTCCGAAGCGACCTCCTTTCCTCTAGGTGACACATGCTTATAATCGGCAGCCACAGCCCGGCCAACATTCAGGCCAGGAACAACAAGCTCAGTCGCAATCCCAACCAACGCAACAACAGGCCGCTGAATTTGTTCAACAACCACAAGTTTATGAAGAGCCACCACAAGCTCAGGAAGAGAATGTCAATATTGCCAGCCAGATTTGACCATCGATTCAACAGCCACAAGTTTATGAAGAGCCATCACAATCAGGAAGAGAATGTCAATATCGGCAGCCAGCTTTGACCACCGACTCCATTGTTGAAATATTTTCATGAACAGCCCTCAAACAATCAGAAGCAGCCAATTATTTCTCCAACAGTGCTACTGCTAACGAATTCTTTTGTGAGGCATATTCAAAATGAACTTCCATTTTGATGGCGTAGAGACTACGAAATAAAACAGTTACCAACCGAGATAGCCAGAAATCTTTAACCAGAGAACCGTCACTAATTGGAGTGATTAGAGAACCGTCACTGACTGGAGTGATTAGAGAACCGTCACTGACTGGAGTGATTAGAGAACCGTCACTGTCTGGAGTGATTAGAGAACCGTCACTGACTGGAGTGATTAGAGAACCGTCACTGACTGGAGTGATTAGAGAACCGTCACTGACTGGAGTGATTAGAGAACCGTCACTGACTGGCGTGATTAGAGAACCGTCACTGACTGGAGTGATTAGAGAACCGTCACTGACTGGAGTGATTAGAGAACCGTCACTGTCTGGAGTGATTAGAGAACCGTCACTGACTGGAGTGATTAGAGAACCGTCACTGACTGGAGTGATTAGAGAACCGTCACTGACTGGAGTGATTAGAGAACCGTCACTGACTGGAGTGATTAGAGAACCGTCACTGACTGGAGTGATTAGAGAACCGTCACTAATTGGAGTGATTAGAGAACCGTCACTGACTGGAGTGATTAGAGAACCGTCACTGACTGGAGTGATTAGAGAACCGTCACTGACTGGAGTGATTAGAGAACCGTCACTGACTGGAGTGATTAGAGAACCGTCACTGACTGGAGTGATTAGAGAACCGTCACTAATTGGAGTGATTAGAGAACCGTCACTGACTGGAGTGATTAGAGAACCGTCACTGACTGGAGTGATTAGAGAACCGTCACTGACTGGAGTGATTAGAGAACCGTCACTGACTGGAGTGATTAGAGAACCGTCACTGACTGGAGTGATTAGAGAGCCGTCACTGTCTGGAGTGATTAGAGAACCGTCACTGACTGGAGTGATTAGAGAACCGTCACTGACTGGAGTGATTAGAGAACCGTCACTGACTGGAGTGATTAGAGAACCGTCACTGACTGGAGTGATTAGAGAACCGTCACTGACTGGAGTGATTAGAGAACCGTCACTGACTGGAGTGATTAGAGAACCGTCACTGACTGGAGTGATTAGAGAACCGTCACTGACGGGAGTGATTAGAGAACCGTCACTGACGGGAGTGATTAGAGAACCGTCACTGACGGGAGTGATTAGAGAACCGTCACTGACGGGAGTGATTAGAGAACCGTCACTGACGGGAGTGATTAGAGAACCGTCACTGACTGGAGTGATTAGAGAACCCTCACCAACTGAGAGAATGGCCATCAAAGAACTGTGAGTTGATAACAATGAGAAACGTCAGAGCTTCGAAGCTGTTGAGCTAGTCAGTGGTCTCTTAGTCGACTCAATCAATGGATTAGAACTTGACTCTGTGCTCATGAAAGAGTGTCATATTGATGAATCACCATCATTACTTGGAGGTGAATGTAGTAACGAATCAGGATCATCAACATTTTCATCTTGTTTTCTCTTCGTCAGGATTTTCACTTTTATAAGAACCTTCACCACTCCGTAATGGCAACTCCAACCCACTAGATTTGAGACACGACGTTAAATGATCCAGTTCATCTTCGAAGAACACATGATGTCGCAAAACGATAGCCAAATAGAGTGAGCGCCAAACGTCCTTGTTGCGGATATTCATTCTAATGACAAAACAATTACACTCATGCTATTAAGAACGCTCGACTCGCCTAGCAAGTGCATCCGCCGCAACAAGTAAAGCTCTACGATCTGAAGACAACCACATTTGGGAAGACGTCCTCTTCACCAACTGGGCCACCAGTTGATCCAACTGATGGTTCCCTTCAATCGAAGATATTCGAGAGACGCCGTTCAAAAGAACGGAAAGAGCTTTACCGTCAATCCCTTCCGCAGCCTGACACTGATAGTGGCAGAAGCATAGTCTCCTTCTGCAATTACCCCTGCTACAATCAGTGAAATTCTGTCATGAAGCTGGTGAACAATTTGAGAAGGCGTTGAACTCAACCTCCCGATGCGATTAGTGATTAAACTGAGTTCTTCAATGGTTGTGTTTGGAATGAAAGTTTCAAATTGCCCAAGGAGGCATTTCTCTTGTTGGTTCGTTGCCTCCACTCGACCTGAATACCGTTGCAAAGGTGGGTATTGTGTCCGAAACAATCGAGTGGAAATTCTTTACGGCTAGTCGCCTGAAGGCTCTTCTGAAATGCAGTAACATTTTACTTTGGTCCAGGCATTCTTTGGTCCAGGCATTCTTTGGTCCAGGCATTCTTTGGTCCAGGCATTCTTTGGTCCAGGCATTCTTTGGTCCAGGCATTTGGTGCGTGACTGTGTTGAGATGGGCAAAAAACCCCTTATCATAATAATATGCTGTTTTGCCCTCTCGATTTTCACGATGTGCCTCCTCATCATCCCAATTCGCCGCCAACCATTACTCGAGACTCACTGCTCCGATGAGCAATTCTGCCCTGCGCTTTTCCGTCCAATTTTTCCCGAAGACCAGCCACTTTCAGATTATCTTAGGGAAGAGACCCCTACGAAGCGAGGTAGCATTCCATGGCCGGATTTAGAAACTGCACCGGGACCCAATTTCCACCATTGATTGACCGTCGGGACCGACTGTTGATCTCTCGGATCATCACGAACGATTTATGGCCAATGACAAGCCCTTGTCGCAGCAGACTCAACCTGCTTCGATTGTTAGGAGGGAGGCCAATTTCCAACATCTATGACAATCAGGACGGAAATGAACCATCGGGATCGCCTAGAAGTTATCGAGCTTTGGGCTCCCTACAGAATTTTGAATGGGACGGAGCACCGCTTAATTTTGGATGCGCTAGGACGCGCTAGGGAATACTCAAAGCGGACTAATTTAGTTTTTTCCGTTCCTGTTGATTTTCCGTCTCTTTCATTAGCCAGCAATTATTTGGCTTATTTATCAAATATCGCTTTATCACGTCAAGTCGTTTTGCGGGAGTCGGTAAGTTGACGGTCTCCATTTTTATATTTTCATTCTATTTTCACATTGTTCTATTTTTCAAATCGTTATTGTTCGAATCTAATTCTCTCATTTAGGTTTCGCTAGGAGCAAGATGGACACTCCTTACCACACCAAATCATTATTTGACTCCAGAATCGATGAAGTATATTGAAATGGCTATCGAACAAGCAGAAAGAAACCAAAACACCTTCATTCTTGTTCCGGTTGTAAAATTTGTCGGTAGCCCGCCTCTGGACTTGCGTTCTTTCTCGTCGATTCGGGAAATGCAGTCTGAACTTGTTTCGTTGCCCCCGCAATTACTGGTTCATTTCACAGCCCCAACAGACGTTTTTATTCGGCATCTTGGGGTTGCAGGAACTCAATCATGGAGTTCAGCTTTGCACAACCTTGTATCAGAATCGATCTCCCTTGTGAGATGTGCCTCGGTGTTGGAGCAGAAGAATACTAGAGTTTCCAAAAAACTTACTGACAGAGACATTCACCTCATTGAAACCTGCGGATATGTCATCGAGTTGGAAAACTTTCCTCCAGATGAAACGAATTCGTGCTTCAAGCCAATGGAAGGTGATGATGTTTCTGAACTCGCGCTTGCTACAGACCCTGCCATCAACGATGACCGCCTTACAAGGGCGGCAGACATTTTTCAGCGCTATATTGAACTGTCTTTGCAAACTACTTAACTTTTCTTCCAAACGTACGCGTCTTTCGAGCAACATGTTTAGACCGGACTTCACGAAACAGGAATGCTTGAAAATGGCGGATCCTCGGGTTTTCACAAATCCTCCTTTTGACCGTCCAACTCCCGAACAGTTTGGAAAGTTTGAGGATCATGCTTCTCTTTTCTCCTCTAATTGCCGATTTGTTCTTTGCTGTGAGGGGAAGTGCGCCTTCAACGAAGTGAAAGACGACGCAGAAGGCCAAACTCCGAACACGAGAAACGGGGAAACAACAAAAGAGCCTACAAGCGTTCAGTTGCACAGGCATGCAGTTGAAGAGTTTGCTTGATAAATGCTCCGATTTGTGCCTCGAAGCGGGAGCAGCCGTTGAAAAAAACAGATTGGCCAACGAGAGTCATCTCCCACTGTTCATTCTGTTGGGGAAGAAGAAAGACGTCTTTTTCTACGTCTGTGATGTCTCTCATATACACCAGAACGTTTTGTCGTCTTTACTGCCTCATAGGGTGATTTTATCGAGTTTGAGAGAAGTGGTTCAACACATTTCTTGTCCTAGCGATGCAACCACATTGTCCATCGCTCAGGCTATTTGTCGGTACCATCGCTCCTCTCTTTACTGCGGTCGGTGTGGGAATGCGACGGTGGCAGATCGTAACGGATCGTGTCGAAAATGTCCATCATGCCTGACGGTCGAATTTCCCCGACAAGATCCCGCAATGATCTGTTTAGTCCACTGCTATCCATACGCATTGCTGGCGCGCAAGGCCTCCTGGCCAAGCGGTCGCTACAGCTGTCTGGCTGGTTTCACTGAAATTGGCGAATCGATCGAAGAAACTGTACGTTTGGCAAAATTCTAGGATTCTAGGATGTTCAGTTACAAGGATGTCCTTCGTATCGATACTTAGGATATACGTGAGGCCCTTGAGGAGGCTTCTGTCAAGATCAACCCTTCGACTCTTCAATACCGAGGAAGCCAGCCGTTAGCACATAGACCAGGCTTTTGCCTTTTCGCATTCAAGTATCTTCCTTTTTTCAGATGGTTATTTCCAAGATCATTGATGTTCGGGTTTCATGCAGAAGCAATTTTAGATGACCACGTTTTCAACGGAGTGGATCCGCCGGATCCTTTTCTTAGGACTC